CGGCCGACGGGCTGTGATAGTGGGGCCTTATGGGGCTCTAGAGGCAGTGGCCTCGCATTCCCTCCTCCATAGCTTCAACAGTCCTCTGAGAAGCTTAATCCTGAGCAATCTGGCGCTTTCCTTTCAATACATCCTTCTCATAGCGGGCAACGATTTGAGGAGCGGTCTGCATCAGTTTCTCCCGAGTAAACCAGCGGTCCTCCTTCGGATCCGTGTGATGTCTGAAGTGGACACGAAACTGCAGCTTTGGTTTTGGAGGACGTCCCCTTCCTGGAGGCTTCTGAACGGGCATCTCCCTGTGGTAGAAGATATCATCTATGCCGACTTCTCCGTCCACGGTTGGGGGCAGCATTGAGCGACGAGATGGAAACTGGTCAGTCTCTTTGAAAGGTGCCAGCTTGGAGGCGTGAAAGACAGGGTAAGTACGAAGCTGACCAGGAATACGGACAGCATATGATGGCCCATCCGGATCTGTTCCGGCGATGTCCAAGACTTCCCAAGGTCCAAAGTACTGAGGCATGAGTTTGCGGGATATCCCGTACTCCTGTCCTAGTTCTGAAGACTTAACCCAGACTCTGTCCCCAACCTGAAATGTAGAAGGCCGGCGGTGTCTGTTTTCGGACTCGCTAACACGGCTGTGGAAGAAGCGGTTCATCGTCGACGACACGCCGACACTCGCCATCAACCGTTTGTTCACCATGTCACAGGGCAACACAGCAACACGGGACTGGCTCACGGAGTGGCAGAAGATTGAGGCTGTGCCCAATCTGAACCTACCATTCGAGCATCTACGCCGTGAGTTCTACAACAGGTCTTGTGCGGCATTGAGCCAGGCTCTTGGTGATCGCGAGCAGTACTCAACCTTCGCGGAGATCATTGACAAAGCGAGGGAGATCATCAAGACCAATAGGTTAGTGCAGCCTCAGGGCACACAGCCCCAGCAGTCACCGGTTCCTGTGACGGACTTGGAGTAAACACTGTCTGTACAGGAACCTGTAAACTACTCCCTGCTGTTACCCCTCCTGACAGCGGCATGCCCAGGGAAACGATAGCAACCGTTGATGGGGCTACATATGGGGATACCCCAGTCACCGGTGGGACAGAGAAGGGAGGATATGGCACGGGCCAGGCACCAGGCCCGGCTGGTGATGGTGTTGCCTGAGCACGGTCTGACAGAATGGCCAGGCTCTGTTGAATGTCCTGAAGGATGGTAGTTTGGTGCTCCTGCATTTCTATAACCCCTAGCAGGGCCTTCCTAACTACCCTCACATCATCATCCATAAGCGTCAGGTCCATCATTTCTAACTCCTCTATGTCTGCCTCTCTTCGCTGCATCCTGGCTCTTCCTCTGATCATCTTTTCTTTTTCCTCTTTTATCTCCCCTAATGCCCGCTGTAGCTGTGCCTCCTGCAGGGCTGCCTACTGGATGGCGACATCCTCTGTAGTCAACACCGTGGCCTGGCTTGCCATAATGCCAGGGGACTGACTCACGGTCTGCGCGACCGTTGACCCGACGACACCTGAACTACTGGCTTGGGAAGTCTGCTGCGCAGAAGTGGACATGGCTGTAGTAGCCATGGCTGCTGTAGCACCAGCCTCACTAATTGAAGTCTGGCTGGCCTCGGCTGCTATGGCCCTCCTCTGTGCCCGCTCTCTCTCCCTCTGYTGGCGGAACAGATGTCGATCACCCTCCGGTCCTAAAGACACGTGGGCTACCGGGCCCCTCGCTGATCGCAAGATTCTGTGGTCGTCCTCTCCGGTGTTCTCCTCGTCGCTCATAGGCTACAGCGCTGTGCACTGTCTACACTAGAACATTCAAGATGTCTACCATAGCATAGTACACGGACCATCCAACTAATTGGTGGCTATTTCGGAGTAGATATCACTTGAGGTCAACAGGTAAGTCAGATTCCTACAACTGAAACTATTTTTAGTATGACTAGTCCACAAACASAAACATCAGGAACAATCAACAGTTCTARCTAATGYTGTCTGTCAGATGTCAATGGCAGTCCATCTAACTAATCAAAACATAAAAATAGAATCACTTGTGTGTATAGGACAGCATGGAATTTTCTCGAACTTGTCACCTGGAATCAACCCCTCCCTCCAATCTACATTTGAGTATCTCTTGCTGTCAGTGTCCTGAGCAATCGGGTAGCATGCGTGACTGAAGGTGTGCAATCCGGTCCCACCCCTGTGCCCCAGGTTATCGTCGAGCAAGGCAGCCACAACACTCTTATTTATCCTCGTACGCCGACGAGCCTTACACCCGGTTGATCTGGCTGATCAAGAGGCAATTTAACGTCCGCCCCCAAGTGACATCAGGAATTATTTTACGTCGCAACAGGACAACGATCAGTAGTCTCGCAGTCAGTGCAGCCTCAGGGCACACAGCCCCAGCAGCTAGCACAGCAACCTGTTTCACCGGATCCATAGCCTGGAATGATGCAGGGACCGGGACAAACACAGTGGGTTCCGAAGACGGCCATCGCCGCTCCTAAACCTTTTACAGGGGACAAGAGAGGCGAGGACCTCAACACATGGTTGAGGGCAGTGCCGGTCTACGTCAGGTGCAAACTCACCTTGCCGCACGAAGAAGTGCTTGTGGCTGACTCCTATCTCGAGGGTAGTGCAGCGAGATGGTTGAGTGGTCTAGTACAACTTCAGGGATACAGTCATGACTTCCGCGCTTGGGCGGCCTCCCAGAAATTGGAGGACTTCCTGAAAATGGTGGAAGAAAGGTGGCATGATCCTCAGGAGGCTCAAAGGGCCACTGACGCGATCCTGACACTGCACACGCGGCAGTTTAAGTCAGTAAGGGAAGCCACCGACGTTGTTGAGCATTTGATCTGTGTCCCTGGGGTACGCTATGATCCTCAGGTCCTGTTGACTTTGTACCTGAGATGTTTTTCACAGCCTCTCAGGAACCAGTTGGCAAAAGAGGCCAACATCAATATACACAACTTTCCTTCGTTTAGCAAGGTGGCCCTAGACCTGGAAGCAAAGATAGGGCATGGACAGACACCCACTACGGAAGGGAGAAAGAAGACACTGCCTCCTAACTGGAAGGCGAAGGGTCGCTTAATGTTTGTCGACAACGATGGTTCAACCATCGAGTTGGACGGCAACCTCCAGGAGGGAGTAGGTTCAGAGGCAGGCAGCTTAGACGCTTCAGAGGGTGGAGTGGTCGCTGCCGTAGCGCAGAAAGGTAAAGGGACCGGTCGACGCCCTAGGGGATCCCGGTCGAAGAGTCAAACACACCCCAACGCTCCTCCATGGGATAAAGCGGGTCTATCAGAGGACGTGTGGAGAGATTGGTGGGCCTGACAAGCTTGTATCAAGTGTGGTCAGTATGGCCATAGCATGTACAAGTGCCGAAACAGGAAGGTCGCCGAGAAGATCCCGCCTACGATGGGGCTGGCGGTAGGATCCTCCACTCCCGTTGGTAGCAACGTTGCCAGTTCTTCAGGCACCGCTCCAGGAAACACGTCGGGCCAGTAGGAATAGTAGCTGTTCCTACTAGGGTCGCGGTGGTGGATACACCCTCACCTTCGCGAGAGATGGCCCAAGCTACTGACTCTTCAGTCGTCCCGCAAGCACATTCAGACCCATCGACCCTCTGTTCGATGAATGTGTTTGAGTCCTTAGAGGAGCTAGTGGTAGAGTGGTCTAGATTAGACCCGCTAGCTTCTTGGACGGCCTTAGTCAAAGCTCCTAAGGGTGAGATGTTCGTCAGCGAGGTTGTTATTGGCG